TACTGTACATTGTGGGACTGTCTGAGCTCTGATTGCCCTGTAGGTTTTATCAGGAGGAATACCAAGTAGTTTCAGGTGATTTCTGACCAACCCTCCTGGACATAAGTGATCTTATGGTTCCCAGAGCATCAGCAGTATTTGTGTGGTTGTCATAAAAATGTGAAAGCCTTCGTTCCCATTCAGTTTGGAAACATGGGACAAACTAAGATTCACCTGTAGGTGTTCAGAGAGCTGTGTTCCTGCTGCTTGAGCAGCAAAAAAGACACACTGTGGAAAGAGGGATTTGGGACTGTGCCATCTTGTGTTTATTTTTGTTTTCCTTTTTAAAATGTGAATGGTTAATGATCTCTTCTGAATCATAATGGTTTATGATGTTTCCTGTTATCTTAGTGATAGACTAAAAAACTCTTACATTAAGAGTTATAAACTCTACTAGATACTTATTTAATTAAGAGCCAATGCTGAGAGTTTCTAATAAAATTTGCAAAAGGGTTTTAGAGGCTGAGGAGACAAAATTCTAGCAGCCTGTTTTAGTAATGCAGAGGAGATGAAGGGAATGTTTTCACTGCACTGTGCAATGCCTGACCAGGGTGGATTTTGCTACCCAGGTCACAGTTCTCCTCTGACCCAACTGGAGCAGCTTGATCCCAGTTGTACCAGCCTCCCAGACTGAGCATTTCTGTGCTGCTCTGTGAGATGTATTTGGAGTTCTGTGTTGTACAATAAAAGCAAAGGTAAAAGTTCTTCATTGAAAGAAGAGCTTCAAAGCTTTCTATGGTCTAGTCTCCGTGCTCTTGTCTCTATTCTCTTGCCTATGGCCCTGCCTTCCTTCTACTTTGTACACTAGTTCTTAGTGTTCTGTCTCCTGATGAATTTTTTTGAGACTTTAGAAGATTGCTTTCACCAAACTTTATCTGTCTAAATAGTTAGACTTCTAATGCAAACTTGTAGACCTTAGAAATTTTCTTCTCCCATGATGAAACATGCAGACTTTCAAGCTCATTAAAGTTAGATGAAAAAGTATACATCGGAGAAGTGTCAAAAAAAGAGATTATTTTCCAGTCTGTTGCGGAGATGCTGTGAGAGACTGGACTATTAATGATTAATGACTCATAACATTTGCCCATTTGCTGAGGTGCCAGGGTGCTTTGCGGAGGACAAGTTCGCATCTCTTGAGGGAGGACGTGAGTTTTTGGGTGTACATGTGCTAGTCTGCATGAGACAGAAGAGGTGAACTATCACAGCCTGGATCCTGCAAGGCGAGATGGTGCTTCTTGCTATGCTAATTGCTCTTCCTTACATAACTCCCTCAGTTGTTAAACTGCCCTCTTCCCCCCAGGGGAGATCTGATGGAGCATTATCGGCTCAAATGAGAGGCAATCCCTGAGAAGGGATCATAAATTATCAAAGACTCCCTAAGTGCCCCCAGACTCATTTCTGGGGCCTTCCACCACAGGAATGAAAGTTCCCCCGCACTTAGGGGTGGTATCTGGGCATTCCCGCTGAGCCTATTTTAACCCATTGGACTATGTGACATTTCATTTTAATCCACTCCAAGAGATCCATTAACAAGAACCTGGGTTACACTCCCCTTGCTCACTGACCTACCATGCACACTGGCAAATGTACCAAAAAAAGTGAGGACAGACTGAATTATCACCATCCTAAAAGGGACAGTTGCCCATGCCATTTTCCCCCTGTTGGGAGGGCAAAACCTATCAAAGAAAATGTGAGTAAGCACCAGCACAGATGGGACATTTGGTTGCTTGGTTGAACATCTGTACGTGAGGAATTTCTATATGTGGCTTAATGTACAGTGCTGGTACTTCTGCAGAATGTTGGGATTTTTTTCTCCTCTGGAAGCAGTAACAACACAAGGGAACCCTTGGCCATTAGTTTCCTTTAAAAGAGCATTCACTATTCACAAACCAAGTTTGCAAAATCATTTTTCCTGTTTGAAATGTTCTGACTCTTGTGTGGGTGATCCTGTAACTTTGACTTCACTGAAGCCATTAAGCGTTGTTATAATAATAATAATAAAGCCTGTTTTTTACTTTTTTATTCAAGTCATGCAAAGAATACATACCCTGGTTTTAGAGAAAGTTGGATTCAAGCATTCTGACTTTGTCTTTTTAAATATTGGCTTACAAATAAATTGTGAGAAAATTGTCTTTGCATGTTTCAAACCATTCTAGGTGTACTCTGTTGCCTCCAGCCAGATGCTGTCTGATGTTGCTTAGATGAACCCAGCAAACCATTATCCTGGGATTAAACACTAAATACCTGCAAGGAGCATTCTCTTTATCAGATAGTGCTCTGTTAGCAGAGTTCATTCACTTTATTGCATATATAACTATGGTGTCAAATAGACTGATTTACAACACCTGGTCTTTTACATAATCTTTGCTATTTGCTGCGCTTGTAATCTGCCAAATCATTCAGCTTTCCTGATAGCAGAAATGCTGTAAAACTTAGATAAACTTGCAGAAGAAATGAACTCGAAGGTACTGCTGAAATCTAGGGCCTGCACATTTGCTGTAAATGCACTGGCTGGTTTGGTTTCCCCTGCCTAATCTGTGATTGCATGTGGCTGCTGGACAAATTGAAATTTTATGATAGCACTACCGTCAGAGGAGATAAGCATTTGTATGCTAGACTAGATTAATCTAAAAAGAAGTTTTAGGTGTGGCTAATGAAAGCAGTGTGTGTGTTAACTGGGTTTCTTTGGGGTTCAAACCACATGTGTGTATCTGTATAGAGTCTAGTCTTAAACTTTCTCCATGTGAAAAATCTCATATATCTGTGCGCTAGTTCTTGCTATCAGTGCAGCTCATTCCATTTTATGTTGTAAATATCTTTGAGGAGTTTCAGTTTTTAAAGGGTACTTTCTGAATGATAGTACAAACAACAGATTTCTCTAAAATTATCTGGTTTGGCTACCCAAAACTCCACATCCTTCTGAACTTTTTTGTTAGGGTGACTAAAAGACATCACATTTGCTTAGGGTTACCCATGAACAAGATCCAGTTGAAACAAAAGCTGTACTTTTTCATTTTGAGCCACTCATATTTTGCTACTTAGATAATAGAAAGAAAAGCTTAAAATGTGGAAAAGACATTTGCAAATTAGCTTTTTGATTGTGAGTGAGATTAAATCTAACACATCTTCGGGAAAATAAAAAACAACCTGTAGTCAAACAGGAGAGAGCCCTGCTAGGCAGTAGTGTCAAGTCAGACTGTATTAGAAATGACACTGAACATCAGATTGGAAGAAAAAATAAAAATTGAAAGAAATAGCTTTTATAGCATAACTTCAGTAGTCACCATTAGCATTGGTATTAACCAATCAGTGCCTCTGCTAACTCCTTTGAGCTGAGGGAGATGTTCTGTGTCTCAGATACAACAGTGAATTACCTTGTCATGTCAGGCACTGGAATGGGCTGCCTGGGAAGGCGGTGGAGTCACCATCCCTGGTGGCTTTCAGGAAATGAGCATGCATGGCACCCGGTGCTCTGGTCTGGTTGGCAGGGCAGTGACCAGTCAAATGTTGGACTCGATGGCCTTGGAGGTCTTTTCCAGTCTAAATGATTCTGTGATAGTGTTCTGGTGATGAGTAGGATGTAGCACTTACTTGTGGAGATCAAGAAGGGTGTTTTTCATGGCATGGCTAGTTCAGGGTGGGAAAGCTTTTTACCTGCTGCTGCTGCACAAGGCTGTTGGACAGCACAGGTGGGAGTCTGCCTTTAGGAGGTACATGGGCCACTGCTAATCTCTCACATCCATAAGCTGCTATAGATGTTTGTTCTTAAGGATTTTTCATCCCATCTGAGTTGAGAAACCTACAGCTGTCTTAGTTGCTTAGTCTTTCTAGGTTCTTACAGTCACAAAAGTAAAAACAGAGGCTTTTCTCAAAGCAGAGACCAGCTTGATGTGTTCCTCATGCTATAGATGAGCTATTTGCTTACAAGAGAGATACCCTATGGATCCAATCACCTGTGCTGATAATTTCATTTGGATGAATAATGTGAATAATGTTTTGTGCATGGAAGGCTTTGAGGGTTGGGAAGATCAGGCAGGTTGGTGCTAACAACAGCATGGAACAAAGGGACTTTTGGGTAAAACTCTGGAGTGATATCTCTTACATATCACTGAGAGATTGCTGGAGAACAGGCTCCCTAGGGAAGCAGTGGAAATGGTATTGTTTAAGACATTTAAAATTGGACAGGAGGAAATATATTGTAATGATCAATCCTGTGCTGGTATTTAGATCAAGTCTTGTCTCCTGTGAATATTAATAGAAAGTCTCTGTCTCAAGTACCTGCCATTATTCAGTGAGCATTGCCAGATCACATTGGCTTGCAACCTTCCCTCATGTCTGCACTTTTACTTAAAGGACAACCTGAGTGATGCTTAGCACCTTTGCCTTTTCTCTTGGTGCCTCAAGTGTTGATTCTGTATTGCCTTGCTTAGATTCTATTCCTTCACTGGTTCCACCAGACAGACTCCATATAGTACACAGAGATTTACAGGAAGCACATGTAGTTTGTGGTAATAATAATAATAAAGTCTCCTGCTGTTTTCAAATCCCTGAGAAACTAAATCAAGTGTAGAGGTCTATTCAAAAAAAAGAGTGCAGCATGTGTATAAGTCACTTTACCATTACCAGTGTGGGTCTGCCTTGTTTGGTGTATTTGGCTGTCATCTCTCTGAGGTCTGTGTTCAGTCTCCAGAGTGCAACTAAGACATTACACACCTCAAAAGGAAAAGCTGATGAAACAGCCTAAAATAACCTGAGCACCCATGCTTTGCTTGCCTATTTTTCAGTAGCTCTGTGTTGTCATTACTGACAGGAGTCCATACAGCAAAATGCATTCTGTGCCAGTGGCCCCTGTCAAACAAATCTAGGTCTGGTCTGATTTATGGAGGCAGGAAAACTGGATGCAATTCCTGCATGGTGCTGTGATCTTAACAGAGCTCTGTTTTCTTGGTGTGTTTCTGTAGGTACCAAGCCTCTCTTCTTGGCCTGGTGGAGTCTGTGAGCCCAATATCAGCTCCAGGACAGCTCTGCTGGGAACCTTGTGACGGGAACAAACTGCACCCGCCCTGCTGCGCGAGCCACAGGCTGTCCTCCTCCTGGTGCCAGAGCCCCTGCAGCCCCAGGAGCAGAGCAGATGAGCTGGAGGAGAGTCGGCTCCTGGAGGAGATCTTCTTCATTTGACACTGCTCCTTGGTCCACACCTCCTCTGAAATTATTGGAGTGATCACCGCTTGTTTTCCCTCTTCTAATTCTAATTCTTCTAATTCTAATAGCTAATTAGCATCCAGGTTCATTTTGGATTTAGTGATCATGATGCAAGTATATTGTTGGGGTACGCCAATCAGAAAGTGTTAACTTTTTTCCTAAACCTTTCATGTGCCAAGTAATCAATTTAGAATAGCATTTTTTTTAAATCTACAACATTTTCTAATACATTGAAGTCACAGTTTTGCCAGCTTTATATCGGAAGAATATTTCATTATTGATTTTTTTTGTTCTAAAGCAGTTTGCAAGAACTGCCTAACATTCAACAGCCAGCATGTTCAAAGTAGATTATTTTCTAATTAAACAAGTCTGTTTAAAACCTGGCATATTATAAAGGTACAAGCACTTTAGTACTTTTTCACTGATTTTATGATCTACTTTTTCCTTCAACATTCTGATATTTAACACACTGAGTTTTTAGGGGATATATCGTAAGCTCAACTCTACAGTGTCTGATAATGTTAATAGATGATGTTGCAGGTTGATGTACTAGGCACAGGTTTGAATTATATTCCTCTTTAAATCAGTGCTATTTGACAGAGTTTATGTGCTGGGTAATGTAACCCTGAAACAGCAGAACAGAGTCAGACATCGTAGAGATCCAAAACCTATTTGATGTACTTTTCACGATGAAATACATAGTAGTGCTAGCACAAGAGCAGTCTTAAGACATTTTCACTAACTTGCACTATTTTGATCCTGCATCCAGGCTCCATTGTAAATAAGGCAAATCAGTAATTATTTCCACTAGCAGCTCACAATGCACACTTTCCTGCCAGCTTTAATTATTCATGCTGTATCTATTTCAGTTTATTTAAATGCATTTCCATCTACTGCATGTACTTGGTTATTTAAAGAAATGTGCCGAATTGGTAAAAATGACTGCACATTACAGGATTAATGGTCATTTTCTCCACAATGCAGTGTTCATATTTTATTGTAACAGTAGCCACCGGCATGTGTTCCTAGAAATGAGACTAAAATACTCATTTTGCACAGTAAAATTGCAGCAAGGGAAAGGTAGAATTGATCCAGTACGGGCGAGTTCTAGGCCATTTGCTCCCAAACACCACTTCATGGGCCAGTACTGCTCCTCAGACAGTCTCTTTAGGCAACCCTGCTTATCTTAATGGCTGGGTTGAGTTGCTGTACTGATGCTTGGGGTATGGCTGCTGCCTGCCTCCCCACGCTGCTCCTGTGCAATGTGTGATGCTCTGCAGGGTGGATCTCAGACGAGAGCACCGCAGCCCCTGGCAGCACCGTGCTCCATCAGTGAAACAAAAGGAGAGAGAAGGGGAAGAGGAACCTCAGGTTACTCTGGGCTGCTTTGTTCAGGCCCAGTCTTAATCACAAATTAGGTGATATCCTTTCTGTGCATCCCAGCTGAATTTTAAAAGCTTCTTGGAGGAGTTTAAAGGAGGAAAGCAGCATTGCTGGACCAGAAAATTACTACTGTGGCAAGTCCCTGCATGGTCTGTCCTGCTTCTAGTGAGGTGTTACAGTTTTATGGAATATGTCCATCTGCTGTTGAATGTCCCTCTTGTTCTACTCCCTGAGCCTGTGAAGGCCCAGGTATCTGCTAAGGGCCCCAAAGATGTATTCAGTGCCCTGACTCAGGTAGAGCAGATAGGAACATAAGTTTTCTTATTCTGTTGGCTGAGTAGTGTGCTGCTTAAAGAGGGCAGGAAAAAGGAGGAGAAAGAGGAGAAAAATATACAAGGACCAGCAGGAAATTTGGGGATAACCGTCACACAGATCTTAGAGTTTGGGGTTGTTTCATGGTGTTTTTTTAGCTTTGCTGGTGTTTTTTTAAGTGTTGGCATTTATAGAGAAAGAGTTCTCTGATTTCACTCCAATTGCTTCTTGTCTCTTTTCCAGTTTGACTGAAACTTTAATTGCCTTTTCTGATAAATGCTAACTGACCTTTCAAAACAGCAAAAAACTACATGTATATTTCTTGAAAGGTGCCTTTGTGTTGAGAACACTCCATGGGAGCATTCTGTTCTTTGATTCTTTTGTGGGTGCCAATATGTAATGCTTTGAGATTTCTTACGATCACTTAAAAAATTCTACTTCTCAAGGTGACTTTTGACTTGAATCTATATTTTTTGGTGGCAGCTCTTTTTAAAAGGACATTGTCAGGGTTGTGGGCTCTATGCTGAAGGTGCTGTCTGTCAGTCAGACCTATACAGGGGGCACACCTTTGTGAATCAAAGTTTTCTAGTAAAAGATGGTTGAAATCCCTGATGGGTGAAGAGCTGTATGCTTTAACTCTCTATGAGATGTGGACAAAAGAAACAAAAGCTATTAATTTCATAGACCCTGTGGAAAGTAATTTTTTATAATGCTGGCTCTTGGTCTAGTTATCAGCAGTACATTAGGAATAATGTTTAGCAGTCAGTGCAAGCAAAGATATTTTGCCATGAGGCACTACAAAGTTGAAGTTATTAAAACATTTATAGCCTTAGAAAAAAAAAAAAATCAATGATTGTCAAATAGGAAAGGACAAAATCAGTAGTTGGTACTGGGAGGGGAATTGTTTTCCATCTGCTAAAACAGTAGAGGAAATGCAAAAATTAAACTAGCAAAAGCAATGACATGACAGTGTCCTTTTAAGTTTGAGCTTCTATATTGGGAGCTGCTGCTGGGGAGTTGGTCCAGCATAGATTGTTTGTCCAGAGTGTTCCCAATGAATATCCTTCAGCTGCACATCAAGCTGTGTTTTCCATGGGGCTTTGTGGAGTAACACGACTGCTGCTAAGGCTCCTGCCCACGCCTTTGGTTTGTGTCCTTCCCACGTGGTTCGTGCACACACACTTGCTGGCTGTTTGTGTAGTTATTGCTTTTGAGCACCTTGCACATCACAGACCTGTAATAATCACACCCTTTTCATTTTTAGCCTTTCCAGCTTGCTGTTGAATCTCATCTTGAGCACGTATTTATATGTGTATGTGAGGTCTTAATATAATAAATTATCTGGGGGTTTAATTTATTCTTCCAGACTTTTATTTGGCTTATCTTCTGATTTTTGTCCAGCTCAGCTGTCAATACTGCCATTGACAATGTGTTCCACTTCCCACAACATCACATCATATTATGTTCTGAGTCTCCAGTGTGCTAAGATGCATGAAGAATTTGTTTTAAGCCTTCTCTTCCTCTCCAGGACATGGGTCTTACTGTGAGAAGGAGCAAGGCCTCCATTGGAGCATGAAGTAAGAGAGAGGTCTCAAAATACAAAGGAGAAGAGAATTGAAGAGCCAGCACCATGTTTTGGGACAAAAAAGTGAATTAAAGAGTAAGGAAGAAAGGATGGAGGTGAAGGCAAGAAAGGATAAAGATGCAAGGCAGATGACTGTACCAAAGGTGGAGATGAAGTGGGAGTGAGCCAGAGGGCAGGGACAAATTCTAAAACTAGAATAAGCAGGTGAAGGACAATTGTGTGCTTGTATCTTATAGTGAGAAATGTTTTCAAACACTTGTTCCCATAAGGGCCTTATGACTCCACACCCTTTTCTAAATCATGTTCCTGCATTTGAGGAGCTACTGTCCAAGGCATGCTTGGCAAATGAGGGAAAGAAGGAAATTACCTTGACCTAGCTTTAGCATCTCCTCTTTAGAGCAGCTGGGCAGGGAGGTCAGAGCACATGGAGAGCAACTGTGCAGAACCCAGGTATAACCCAGGACATGGACTGAACTTAAATGCTTGCAAGGGATGGGGACTTAGATGAGTGAAGAACAGGAGACTGGAGAGCAAGAATCAGAACAAACAAATAAAATTTGCAGTGATCCAATGAGCTGTGGAAGTTTGGTTTTAAGGAAGGAAAGAAATGAGCTTAGCTGCACTTCAGAGAGATTGAGCCTGAGATATCCAAAAGACAGCCCTTGAAAGTGCATGTGAGCCTGGGGTTAAACTCTAGAAGTTGCAGCAGAGATTTCTCAAATATGACCTCCAGGCTGTGTTTGAATTTGTGCCATCTGTGGGGGAGGGAGCACAGCCTGGTTAGTTAGAAACCTCCTTTTTCACTGTTACTAAATTTATGAAATTGTGTGCTAATTAGTGTATGATTTATAAATTTACATAACTGCATGCTACATAAGACAACACAGAATATTGAGTGAGGTGATTTAAACCAGCAGAAGCAATGTAGTCTGCTCTGACTGGGTGGCTTTCCTCTGGAAAATGCCTCCCCCATCCAGACCTGCTCCTGCATCACTGGAAGGCTTGTCTGCTCACAGTGACAATAAATGTTTTACAATATTGTGACTCCGTGTAGCTGAGAGACATCTAGCTCGAGCATCTCTGACGTAGCTGTGCAGCTTTCATGGGGATCCCTGACTAGGGTGTTTGAAAGCAGAATTCAGATAAAAAACAGCAAGAAACCCAACTTGGCCTGGCCAGTGTTGGTGCTTGAGGACTCCTGCATTTGTTGATGGGGAGTGGAAGAGCATCCCAGCTGCAGGAAAAGGATGGGCTGGAGGGGAAACTGGATTTGTTTCCTAGCTCTGGGGAAGCCAATTTGCCTCCCTTCACGGGGTTCTGTGCTGAACTGTGTTTAGCACTACATCTCAGAGGGGCTGTGGCCTATATCAGCACCCACAGCAGAAGGCACTGGAGGTATCCTCCAAAATATGTCTGTGAACGGTAATCTGTAAAAGCAGAAACATATGGGGCACACATTCCTATTGAACAGAAGCTGGAGCTCTTAGGCTTCATGTATTCTGAGGCTTGAAGGAAGGCTTGAAGGCACTGGGGAGCTGAACTGGAAAAACTCAGATGTCTCTAAGAGGTGAGGTTCTGACATTTGTGAGGTGAGAGATGCCCAGGTGGTCCTAGCAGATGACCTAATCCATAAGCTGCAGTGAGAGCCAAGTTTCCTTGATTCAGGATTCATCCTGAGTATGTAAAACAAAATAATTTCCACTCAGAGCATGCAATAACCAGTGTGAGTTCATTTTTCTGGTCCCCTGTCTGCAG